CTCTCTCTCTCTCTGCCTGTGTGTGTGTGGAGAGAGAGAGAGAAAGAGAGGCCGGAGTGGCCTGAACGCGGCCGGACCGTGTGTGCGACGTGATATCAAGCCTTTTATTTGAATTGTTCGTTTATTTTGTAGCTGAGAAATCCGTTTACCTCCGGAAAGAAGTGGAAAGAGAGGGTTTATTTATTTATAAGCAGTGGGCAAAATGTTTCGTGCGACACTCATGTAATACGGGAGCTTTTCTCTGGCGCCTCGGCTTCTTTGGATCCGTGGAGTTGAGAGGTGGTGTCCTCGCTTGTACCCATTTGACCGCTTCTTCCCCCTTCTTTCGCGTGGCTAGTGTTAAAAGTGGGCGGAGGGGAAGGGCAACTGGTGTGTGTGTGTGTGTGTGTGTGTGTGTGTGTGCGATGCAGCGAAGCATTTGCCGTATGGCCCGTCGCAAGTGGGGCCAGCGAACGTGGTCGCCAACATCATCAGGGGGCGGCGCCGCGCCGACGAATGGTGTCAGTGCGCAAGAGGCGCTGCAGATTGCGTACCGCCCGATGCCGCCGTCGCAGACGGTTGAGTACGAGGAGGATTTCGGTCACAACTTGATGATCCACCGTGAATTCATTTCCAAGCGGCACCGGGACCGCATGAGTTTCGACATGAGCGCGCTGGCGTACAGCGAGGTGGAGCTGCGCCGCGGCCGGCAGCATCTCGCCGGCGTCATGAACCGCGAGCGGCGTGGCGTCAGCGTTGGTGCTTCTGCCGCCCCCGCCGACCTGGTGCAGATGCAGACGGACGTTGACCCGAACACGCGGGAGGTGGTGAGTGCGCGCTACCTCTTCAACGAGCGGCGCATGCAGTTCTGTGACCGCTTTCAGAACTTCTTCCGCGAGCGGCTGGAGAGGGAGGCGACGGACGCGCAGCATCTCTTCTCGCTGATGGAGGCGTGCGCGGTGATTTACGGGTGCGAGACGGACGCCGCGCGGGAAGCGTACTTCCACATGTTCCTAGGCCTCGACCTCGACACGCTCGAGGCGGAGGAAGAGGCGCTGCGCAGCCGCATAGCAGAAGCGAAACTCGTGCAGCAGACCCTCACGATGGAAAGTGAAGAGCCTGGAAGCGACACAACGCTGCTGCAGCACACAAACACCGCCAGTAATAAAGGCAGCGACGGCGGCAGCAGCAACGAGGACGCCATCATCGCCTCGGTTCCTGAACTTTCCCTCTTTGATGATCCCGACGAGGCGCCGCAGGGTGCAGCGGGATCGAGTGCGGCGCCGCGCTCTGCTATCCAGCTGCCGGAAGAGTTTGAGGAGTACGCGCCGCTCTACAAGGCGTACCTCGCGCACGCGAGGGGTGAGAGCCGCATCGCGTCGTACGATGTGTCGACGTTGGGCTCAACAGGCGTAACGTTGGAGCGCCGTCGCTGGCGTGCGCTGATGGAGAAGATAGTGAAAGAGGATTATCACACCATGACGGAGACGGAGCAGATGGATGCGCTTGTTCTCAATGAGCAGCTTCACACCGTGAAGTTCTTTGACCTAAAGGTGGGCGACACCGTGCGAGAGATTCTGCAGCTGCTGCAGCGCGAGACGGGTGGCGGCTCTTCGGTGAACCGTGACACACCGCTTCACGTCTCGCCCAATCACCCGGAGAGGCGAGTGTGAGCAGCGCATACCTCCTCCCTCCTTTCCCCCCCCTCCCTCCTCACGTGTGTCCGAGTGTGCCAAGAGTGACAGCCTCCTGGCCTGTTCTTTATTCACAGGGGGAACCAGTTGTGTCTGCATCGCCTTGTTTGGTGCCTTGTGCTGCTCTTGTCCCCATTATTCATCGCTGATGTACCTTCCCCTGTTGTGTCTTCTGTGGGGTGGGGAAAAGTCAGAATTGAGAGCGTGGGACATGACACGACCAATTTGGCAGGAGGTACAAAAGTTCTGGGAGCTCGACTCGACGTTTGAAGTGAAGCGGCGCCAAACCCGAAGCCCTGTACGCACCTTCGCCTCGTGCAAATTTGAGGATGAGGTGCTCAGCGTGAACGGCGCGACCGACACTGGCGAGCGGCCACCAAGGGCATATGCACTCAGCTACGAGGAGCACCAGTCGTCGCTGCCACGCCTGCCCATCCCACCGCTGCAGCACACCTGCGACCTGTACCTCCAGTCTATTCAAGCCATCGCAACTTCGGAGGAGTACTTCTATGCCAGCAAGCTGATGGAGGAGTTCCGCAAGCCCGGCGGCACCGGCGAGCTACTGCACAGCCTCCTCCTCAAATGGGATGAGACGTGCGACCAGCCGAGCTGGTTGGAGGAGTTTTGGGATGACTCCTACATGTGCACGCGCGACCCCATTCCGGTGAACGTGAATTACTTCTTTCAGCTGCGGCAACACCCACAACAGTTGGATGCGTCCCGCTGTGTCTCGCAGGTGGGGCGCGCTGCGAGCCTGCTGCACGCCGCGACGGAGTACTACTGCTCCATCCTGCACGGCACCGTCGCAAAGGAGTTCGATCGAGATGTGCCGGTGTGCATGAGCCAATACCGCTTTATCTTCACCACCTCACGCGTCCCCGGTCTGCTCCGTGACCGAAAGGTATGCTACTCTACCAGGCCCCTTACCAGCGACGAGAAGAAGTCTAAGTTCACCGAGTACGTTGCCACAGACCCCACGCACTGTGTGGTTATTATCCGTAACCGGTACTTCAAGGTGCAGGTGCTGCGTGGAGATGGCACACAGTACACTGTGGAGGAACTCGTGCTAGCGCTCAAGCAGATCGAGAATTGTGCAACGTCTCGCAAGGAGCCCGGCGCCCCCGTTGGTCTCTTTACGACACTCGATCGCACCGACTGGTTTCACGCACGCGAGCACCTGAAGGCGCTTGGTAACGCGGAGGTGCTCCAGGCCATTCAGTCCGCCATCATTTGCTTGTGCCTTGACGGCGGGAAGGTGGCCACAGAGAGCGACGCGGCACGGCTCTTCCTTCACGGGTGTGGCACCAACCGCTGGTTTGACCGCCATAACATCATTGTGACGCGGGACGGTAACGCTGGCATCAACTGGGAGCACTCCGTGGCCGACGGCGGCACCACGCTGCACGTCGCCGATTTCATGTACCGAAGGGACTGCGAGCGTTTCATGACAGAAAATGACGTAGACGCTCTCATGGAGCAGCACGAAAAGGCACATGCATGCGTGGGAATGGTGTCGGAGCTGCAGTGGTGCCTCGATAAGGGACTCGACGCCCTCATGAAGGCGGCATTTTCCGACTTCAAACTTCTTATCGAGAGCAATGAGATGAACGTGCTGCATTTTCAGCAGTTTGGGGGCATCCGCATCAAGAAAGGGGGCATGTCACCAGACGCCTTTGTCCAGGTTGCGCTGCAGCTCACGTACTTTCGTCTTTTTGGGCGAAACTGCGCGACGTACGAGGCGGCAAGCACGCGCACCTTCAGTCACGGGCGGACGGAGTGCGTGCGCAGCACTACACGTGCGGTGTGGGACTTCAGCCACGCAGCGGCAAACCCCGTCTTCTCGCGGCGCGCCGGTTCCTACGTGCCGACGCAGCGGGAGCTTATGCGCACCGCCCTTAACTGCCACACAGAATACATGAAGTTGGCAAAGAAGGGACTCGGCGTGGACCGCCACCTCTACGGGCTGCGGGTGATGGCGCACATGCACGGCATTCCGCTGCCGGAGCTCTTTACCGACAAGTGTTTCCACCGAAGTGCGACTTGGCTCATGTCGACATCGCACTGTGGCAGCAGCGCACTCGACGCGTTCGGCTTTGGACCCGTGGTCGGCTCTGGCTTCGGTATCGGCTACATGGTCAAGGCGAATAGTATTGACTTTGTCATCACGTCCAAGTGCACGCACCCTTTTACCTCCGTCTCGGTGTTCGCCTCGATGTTGCAGTCGTCGCTCCTGCATATGGACACCATTGCGCGGAGTGAGCATGTGGGGAATCGTGCGAGCGGCCACACGTTGGTCTTCTCACACCCGTGCGGTTTCAACGACTTTGAGTTCACGCCGCAGGACGGATTTATTTACCATAGCTACGCAAAGGAAAGCCTGCGGGAGCTTGCACACGTCGTGGCGGAGGAACAAGAGAGCGGAAGTTCCCCTGACGCCTCTCTCAACGGCTGCTCTTCCGGGGTGGAATTGGAAGTCTCGTAAATCCGCACGCGCACCACTGCTGGAATGGTATACGTGTCTTTCCGTGTGTGTGTGTGTGTGTGTGTGCGTGTGCTTGCTGTTCTGGTCCATTCATCATGAAAACGAATGAAAAAAAAATGCTGATTGCTTTGATATGTTCTCTATTTTTTTTCCACCTGTCTTTGCAAACATTGCAAAGCCAAAAGATTCCACCCCAAAACATTTTAAAAATTTTTATTGCTCTTTTTTTTTTCGTCTTCCCCTGCTGCTTAGATGCATTGGAATTCTCTTCATGTAAACCACTCGATGGACTAACGGAATATTTCGTTCTTGTTCTTGTTGGTTCCTGGGGAAAAGAGAGATCGTGAGAGGCGGTGTGTGTGTGTGTGTGTGTGTGTGTGAGGGTAATGAACATGACAAGACCGGGGTATTGGGTGCGGGATACAGAGCGGCAGTGAAGGAGTGGCCGCCATGCGGGTAATGTCTCTCCTCCATGTGGATGCTTTGCTGTGGTGCGTTCATACGGAGCGGCAGCCGCGTGTGGGGCGGAGGCCAGCACGTGAGCAATACTTCATCTGTGGGTGCTGCGGAGACTGCAAAAAACGAGTCCAACAACGCAAAAGTTATTTTTTTTTACCCTTTTGCTAGGAGAAGAGTCTGCAAGCAGAGTGGTCGAACCCCGCGCCTTGCGTAATTAATATTGGTCTTTTCTCCTTTTATCCTTGCAGAGCTTCTCGCAAAGGACACATTTATGAAGTAGGCCTTAGGGAGGGTATCCGTCGGCAAACCCATCGTTGTAGAGGAATGGGCGGCCAGGGAGACGGCATTCACAGCCAGGACAAGACAAAATCACCCACCATGGTTTTCATTTGTTCGTTGCCAAGCGCAAAGCCCGCACCATGATTTCGTTCCACATTCACACGGTGTCAACACAAAAATCATGCGCTGTGAAGCACAGCCAGCGCATGTGAAGAGCGACCCCAACAGGGCACCAAGACGCACCACCCCCGGGGGAGTTCCCAGGGGGCGGGCGCGGTTCCGAAGATCGTGGAAGGGGGAGGGGGAGAAACAACAGAATTAGCAAGAAGCGGCGCGAAGAGAACCGCTGCGCCCATACGGTGTGATGGCGTGTTCGGATGAAAAAGCAGACCCGATCCACGTAGCAGCAGCAGCGCGCGAGGATGCCCTCGACTCCCGATTGCTTGCGCAGTTGGGGAACCACGCAGAACTCACAGATCCTCCCCAAGCAATGTGTGCTATCTATGTCGTTGGGCTTTGGGCGCCAATGCGTTAGTGTGGTTGGCTTCGTGGGCGCGGGAAAGTCGGAAAAGCAGCCAGCGGCGCAGTGGTCTTTAGGGAAGCCCTGGGACGACAAAATCCGCCCGCACTCTTCAGCGTCACAGCATTCTTTGACGGCCCCGCAGCATCACAGCAGCCACCCACAGCGAGGTGAGACAGCCGTCCTTGCTACGCGCCAACGCAGGCACTATTTGCATCCGTTGGATTTGACGATGGTTGAACTTCGATCACCCGGAACCATTTCGACACGAAGAGGAACGCAACGCGTCAATAAGCCGAGCCCGCCTCAACTGAACGAGAATCCAA